ATTTATGTATGTAATGTATGTATGTATGTATACGTGCATACATACATATACGTTTATACATGTATACATATGTGTAAAAGTGTCTGTATAACGTGTATATATATAATATAATGTATATAAACCCGCTCCTCTAAGTATGCATGTACGCGATGTCTCTTAGTCTATTTTTGAAGTTTATCTGGTCTCACTGGTAATGTTGGGGCAGATTTGGAGACCATTTTTGTCAACCGCGGATCTAAACCCTAAACCCTAAACCCAATGTGTCGGTCAGCTCCAAGATCCAAAAGAAATGATGGGCCGATGTCTCCTCGAAGGCGCTCAGACCTCCAGCCGTAGGAGCCAAGAGCACACAGACATAACTGCCTGAGGAACCTCAAGGCTCGTGGCCCCGACTTCAATACTGAACCCAGCATGCTGAAAGCCTTAAATCCTGTACAGATCCCAGGACCCTCAACCCAAAACCCTACAATGTCCTACAACTGCAAATCATGAAAACCCTGCACTATGACAGCCTGAACTTGCTGAAGAAAGACGCAACTCTAAAGCCTCTTGCCCCCCCCCCCCCCGCCACCCAAAGTCCCGAGCACAGCAGAATCCATGTGCCACCTCGCTCCACCGTGCTGGTTCCTTCCTGCCCGAATTAGGGTTTGGGGTGAAGCGATTGAATCAGGAGGCCCCCTCCAAAACAATCAGAATGTGAATTTCTGATCTTTTTCTTAGTTCGGTGACATGCCCGGAAGAAGGTGCAAGCTTCACATACTTTAAACTCAGAATGTGAAACTGGTTAACAAAAAGGAAACTACAATGGAAACTGTAGTGACATGGCCATGTAAGGCCGTGAATGTGTCGGGAGTATTGAGCACTATCGTTCCAGTATCTCCGAGCCTGCTTGAAGCCCAAGTAGGGTTTAGGGTCTAGGGTTTGGGAATTCGGATTTGCGGTTAAAGGGGGTGAATCTGAGGAGTTCGTCAAAAACTGAGCCGACAGGTCTCACATAATTCGTCATCTCCACCAGGCGACGGCGCACTGCTGAGTGGTACCATGCTACAGCTCATACGAGTACAGTTTCATGAGCATGATGCCAGCTAGTCGTTTCTTTGTTGGTCCGGTGCTTCTCTTGTCGCAAACCCAGACTCATGCAACTCAAAATAGCGAGGCAACATCTGGCAATCTACATCAGTACAGCCTCAGACCGCTGTTGCGATCTACGAACATGCCTGGCACTTGAAATCACCACAGTTGAACCGGGATCCCGGGCCGTCTCCATCCACAGGGGTCCTGAGGAAACGGCGGTCTGTGCCCGTCTGTGCCGTTGAGCACTGTGCTTTCAGATGTCATGCGAATCAAATCCGGAACCGCAAGCTTTGTCCAGAGGAACCGAAGCTAAAGCCTAAGAAGCTCTACATGCAATTACCGAGTCTCGATTCAGTCGATGCAGCCCTGCTGTTCGATCATAAGAAGACCACGACCCTGCTGCAACACAGCCTGGCCAACGGATCTGAAGCCATATTCGTCACCATCATCAGCATTAGCATCATAATCATCATCGTCGTCGTCACCATCATCGTCATCATCATCATCATCAGCAGCAGCATCATCAAGCATTGGCGTAATCATCATCAGCATCATTGCAGCAGCAGCATCATCATCATCATCACCACCACTACCACCATCTTCGTCTTTATCGTCATCACCATCAGCAGCAACATCAGCATCCTGATCATCATTATAATCACCATCATCCATGGTCGTTCCCCCCAGTCGTCGTCATCATCATCCTCATCATCATGGTCACCGCCATCGTCCTCATCTTCTGAATATTATGTACCTCACGACCAGCATCAACGACATCATCAACGCGGCCCTGAATCAATGAGGGTATTCGTGTCTCAGGGCAGCACCGTGCCACCCCGGAGGCCATTCTGGGTCCAGCTGATCCTGAAGACACGCACAGTCGCAAAAATCAAACATAATGAAGGTTGGGGTCTGGCGTTTCAGAGCTTAGGATTTACGATGCAAGCTTTGTGGTTCAGGGTTTATAAGTCTTGTGGTTTATTTTGTTTGTTGGAGTTATAGTTACATTCCGCATATGGACAGTGCTAGAAGGAGGGAAAGCAGCATGTGCGAGAATGCCTCTGCTATACCTCCAGACCGCTGTTGCGTGAGAGTCAGTCCTGAATGGATGAAAGAAGAGGTGTGTTTGTGGAATTCCGGGTGAGTGGTCTGGGGGAGGGTGGTCCAGTGCGCACTCCTGTTTGAGTCCAGTGCGCACTCCTAAAT